ATATGTATATATATATATTAAACACACACATATATATTTTAAACGCACACACACATATATATATATATATATATATATTTTACATTATGCATATATCTCTATGCATAAAAATACACATATTCACATCTTAAATTTACGTAAGCACATATCAACATAAACAATTAATTCACATAATAATTACCTTGGGTGATAACCTGGACCCAGTTATCACATTTATTGCTCTATATATACGACATCATAGGTTCATATGTAATTAATAAGATAGTTAATATCGAAAATTATTGTTTCTTGCATATATATATATATATATATATATATATATCCAACACTCAACCTAGATCTCACTGAATTGCTCATGAACGCGGTTATATTTATGTATAATCAATAAATGATATTGAATATTTATTTGCTCAAAGAATAAAATACATTTACTTGAGGGGCAAAAATATAAGGTGTTAGTTGAGAAAGCATGATTATAACAAATTACATAATAAATGTAGTATACTCTAGTATAGAGTGACCCTAATCATAAAAAAAATATGAAAACATAACCCTAATGCCTAATGCATTCTACATATTATATACATTTCTTTTTCTTTTCACTTTACACAATATAGCATTGTGGTTTCTAATCTCATTATCCTGAAAACGAAGTGCAATTAAACAAAATTCAGATAACACCTCACAAAAATTATTTAAAAAGAATAACAGTAATCACCATTAACAAATTAAGTAATTAAAATAAAGGTTAAGACCAACGTTCAAGAACACTTCATACCATGTTTATCACTTCGTTATATATATATATATATATATATATATATATATATATATATCATAATCAAGTAATTAAAAGAAATTATCACGTATAAATTTAATATAATAATAAATCAAACCTAGTGAACCAAAAACATTTAATATATCCTATTTAGAAACAGGATATTAGGATGTTTGGGATTGCTTATTTGAAATAACTTATGTTTTTCTACAAAAACACTTATCAACTTATTATAAGTCAGGATGATTTAACTTCTTCAAAAACTTCTTATTACCGATTTGGCACCGGTATAAGTTGTTTATCCAAACATTCAAAAGTGTTTATTACCGGTGTCACACCGGAATAAGTCAGTAAGTTGTTTTTATAAACAATCTCAATCACCCCCTAAGACGAGATTTATACCGACTTAATATCAACATAAAGAAATATAATAACTAATTTTTAATCAAGATTAATATAATGATGATCAATTAAATAGAATTTATTTTTCAGAAATCTTCATAGTTTCAATCATACAAGATTTTAAAAAATGGACAAGCTTCTATGTTTTATGTAAAACTTGCTAATAGGTAAATTTCGAAATTAGTTTTCTTTTAAAAATAACGTTGCATGATTGACCTTCAATCTATCATTTTTCTCATCAATATGGAAAACAAAAACAACATCATAATTGAATATTTTTTATAATTAAATCTCATAATACTACTTCATGTCCTACAATCTTCATTTTATATGTATACATATGTAGATATAGATCTTCACATAGAAAGATCCATAAAAAAAAGTACGTTATAAATTATAGTTTTCACTATTGATATTTGTCAACATTATGTCATTTTGGCATTTAATTAGATAATTTGTGTGTGTTTATATATTCTTTTTGCAAAAGGAGGGTCGGTCAAAAATTATATTCTAGCGAAATAATTTTTTAAAGAAATACACTCTTTTAATATATATATATATATATATATATATTATGCATTCAATCATCTTCTCATATAACAAAACTCATACCACGATTCAAAAAAAAATATTTCAATCTCATAATATCATTTCATATGTCGATTTAACAAAAAGAAATTGTAAAAGGAAGAAGAGGGCTTTGGACCAATAATCCCTTTTTCAGACTCAAGGATAGGTTTCTTAGAAGAAGTAGAAACCTTGGAAGCCTTTTTCAAAGAAACTGGTCTAGGAACGAACTCAGTAATAAAAGCTACTGAGGTACTAGTATAAGAAGCAACAGCTGACTGAGATGAGGTAGCCGAAGGCTTATGTTTCATCTTCAGTTTGGATTTTGGCTTCTTATTCTTGATAGGCTTGTCCACAGACTTGCCTTTCTCAGCCGCAAAGAACGACGATTCAAAGGATGCTTTAGATGCTCAGAAGTTTTAGATTTA